CAGATATAAGTGGTATACTTCAAGGATATAAAGATTCAATTACACCAGGTACATGGCAAATGATCAAAGAACAGAAACAGGAATGGGTCGATGTCTACTCAAATGAAGATATATATGAAATTATGAGAAAATCACCGGATAATATTTTATGCTTAGGTAATCATTGTACAAGAAGAAATCCTTTCAGTTAAGAGTCGCTATTTAGAAATATTGTAGCAATCTACTTGAATGTCTCTTTTTTACAAAACTAGTCTTGATCCTCTATATTACAGTTGTTCTTTAATGTGTTTTAAAAATTAACTACTCATATTTATGATGTCTTTTACTAGGTATTCTTGTTCAACGTAGCGAAGAAGCTGTTACTAATCCAACGAAAGGTTTAAAACTTTTGAACGTGACAAATACAATTATTTCTTATGATTCATTTATAAATGCCATGAATGTAGCTAAAAATGATTTGCAACAAACACAAGGAGAGTTTACTATTTTAAATGATCTATATTGTGTAGCGGGTGCTCTATCAAATGAACGAATTAATGCTGTTATACCATTGTACATCAACGATGAACACATGAAACGAATACGTATTCTAGAAGGAATTTGGCTTGGTTATCTATATACATTAGATAGTTATGGGTATGATAAACAACAGGAAGTTGCTATATTAAAATTGCTTTGTGAAATTATTCAACAACGTACCGATACACAAAGACAAAAACAGATTTTAACTGAACTAGAGAAAGTCTGTCAATTTATTATCAATGAATCACAAGGTTTTAAAACAGCTGAACAATATGGTGAGAAAACATATGAAAAATTATTGAATCGATTGGTATTAGTAAACAGTCAAGAATATGATCTACGTATACCACTGATGATTGGTTATTTAAAAGGCAATGTAACATCTGTTCTTTTACCAGTTTACTATGAATATCTTCGACAACAATATCAAAATAAATATGATAAAAGATCATTGGAAACAAAGCAGATTGTAGAAAATCTTGTCTATGGTTGTGAAGCAAAACATCAGACGATGACTGTCAGTACAAATAATCGAGATAATATTACGACAATTAATAGCGATCCGGATTATATCGAAAAAAGTTATATTGATTATTATCATGATGAATTATGTGAACCAATTCAATTATTAAAAGAAAAAATTAATAATGAAAATCAGAGACTTATTGTAAGTGATGCAATTGAAGTGGATTATATTAAAAGTTTGTTATTACCAATACCTGATTTTATTAAAAGTCTATTAAGCTATTGTCACATCGATGAGGATTATATTGATAAACATTTAGATTACGCACATTTGAGATGGGAATTGTTAGTAACATTTTATTATTTGATTTATTCCGATACAAATAGTGGTGCATTACAGAATTTACCGAAGGAAGAAAACATTCTATCTGTAATTGATCAACGCTTACAAAGTAAGTATAATATAGAAGACGAAATAAAAATCATCACTTGATGGTCTAATAATTCATCTTATATACATTTTAGGTGGTAAAGAACATGTTGTTGATTATGATTACTCGACGGAAAATATTCGTCTCGTGAGTTATGTTGCTCTTAATTGTAAAACACTTGAAGGATTTGCTGGTTTAATGCGTAAATATTGTTCACAATGTCGTGGTCCATTATTTACTGAAATTTTTAAACAATTACTTCGACCAGACGACAATGAGAATGATAGCGTCGCTGCGAAAATAACAAAGAAAGATAAACGTATAGCTTTGATTACAAATCAAATTCCAACAACAACGACTATAAAACCATTTTACAATATGAAAAACTACCAACGGCAATCATATTATGATGAACGAATGGATTCATTATATGAGTTTATTAACAATAACGAGGTTACTGAAATACAATTGCATCATCTTGAAAAAATAGTTGTTTATTGCCGTGGCCGATCAACACTGCCAGACCGAAAGAGCAGAAAACAAAGATTACATTGTTATGTTTTATTTTAACAAAAGCATTACTAACATTTTTTCAAACAAAAAAATGAAATCATAAAAACTTTTTTTCTATTATTTATTCATGAATAAAAGCAAATAAATTTTAACTAAAATTAAAGAAACTAGGGTGTGGGTGTCCCTTGTTAATCTAAAGAGAATACCCAGATCTAGACCATCCACACCCTCATATCCTCAAGTTTTTTCCCCTTGAAATTTATAGTCTTCTCGCCTACCGAAAATAAATGCACAATAGCAGATGCACGCATTTTATCAGTCTTTTGTTGTAAAATTTGTGTAGCAAATAGAAGAACTGTTTCTATTATAAAATTCAAGCATTAATGCTAGATTTGGTGCTAGAATTTTCTAATGAGAAAAACAAGGTAAATTATTGATAATAATTTAATTATAACCTTTTCAGTAGATAGAAATATAAAATTAAATAATTCTTCTGATTAATTAATGTTAATTCATTAGCAATATATGTTGCTTGATATTTTCGAATATCATATACAGCATTAGTACCTGAAGACCATCGATATGAACTTAATTTTGATTTTATAGAAAACATATAGAAAACTTCATAATCAATTATTATTATAGTATTCTATTCCCCCTGAAAATTTTCTTTTATTAGAATAATTATATATATCTTTTAT